TTTAAGACAGTCTTGCTCTGTCGCCAGGCTGGGGTGCAGTGGCGCAATTTCGGCTCACTGCAACCTCCACCTCCCGGGTTCAAGTATTTCTCCTGCCTCAGCCTCCCGAGTAGCTGGGACTACAGGCGTGCACCACCATGCCCAGCTAATGTTTGTATTTTTTAGTACAGACGGGGTTTCACCATGTTGGCCAGGATGGTCTCCATCTCTTGACCTTGTGATCCGCCCACCTTGGCCTCCCAAAGTGCTGGGTTACAGGCGTGAGCCACCGCGCCCGGCCGAGAAATTGGAACTCTTATACACTGCTGGTGGGAATATGAAATGGTGCAGCCACTGCGGAAAACACTTTGACAGTTCCTCACAACGTTAAACAGAGTTATCACATGACCCAGCAATTATACTCCTAGAGACAGACAATTGAAAACATATGTCCACACAAAAATTTGCACATAAATGTTCATAGCAGCATTATTCACAATAGCCAAAAAGTGGAAACAACTCAAATACCCATCAGTTCAAGAATGGATAAACAAAATGTGATATATCCATACAACTGAATACTATTTGGCAATAAAAAGGAACGAAGCACTGATACATGTTATAATATGGATGAGACTTGAGAACATTATACTAAGTGAAGGAAGACGGTCAAAAGACCGCATATGATTTCATTGATATGAAATGTCCAGAAATGGCAAATCCATAGACAGAAAGTAGAGTAGTGGCTGCATATGGTTGGGAGGGTTGGTGGGAAATGGGAAGTGACTGTTAATGGGTACAAGGTTTCTTACTAGGGTGATGAAAATATTCTAAAGTTAACTGTGGTGCTACTTGCACAACTGTGAAAACACTAAAACCATTGAATTGCACACTTCAAATGAGTAAATTATATTCTATATGAATTGTATCTCAATAATGTGATCAAGAAAATAATAAGCTGGTAGGATATAAGCTTGGGAGTAATGTGGAGAAAGAGTACCAAAAAAGAATCTAACAGAGAGCAAAGCTGTAAGATTCTGGAGTAGAGAGAGAAAAGGAGTGTAGGTAAACATTCAAGTCCTGATGATACCATCTAAACACCTGAAGCTAGCCATGCCTGAAGCAAATTATCCTAAAGCTTTTCAGTTAAGAGAGAAAAAAATTACTCATTTTTGGTTTAATCTACTTTGAGCTAGGTTTCCGGCAACTGTGTTTAAGACTATTGATAAACTCATCAATGTTACCCCATTTTTCAAACCAGGGTCAACAGGCTTCTCAGGAAAATAGATAAATTACAGATTGTGCAAGAGAGCTCTATAACAATATAATTCTTTTTGTTTTGCTAATTTTTGCTATCTAAAAAAATTAACATAAGCCTACTCTGGGGATTCCCTGGGAGACCACCTTATATGCCTAAATAATGTATTTGCACTAAATGAAGAGCAATGACAATATTGTTAGCTATAGAAACAAAGGTACTGAAACAGTTCAAATAAAAAAACCTTGCTATTATATATAATAAGTATAAATTATAGGTATGGAAAACTCAATAAAAATAGGCAGTGACTCTGTTTCAGCAAAATACACATTCACTCAATATATAAAAGTTGATTCAAATGGCAATGGTTTTGTAGTTTCACTTGACGGCTTTGTTTATGGTTGTGTAAGAACTCTAAGAATATTTCAAACATTTTAAGTTCAGGGGTGTCTGTGAAATGCTTTTCTTATAACAAGAAGTAATTGGTATAGTACTTAAAAGCAAGAAACATTGGATTATACCTCGGTTCCTTAGACAATTTCACTGGCATCTAAATGATTCAAACTTCCAAAGTAGGTTTTGGGAACAAATTACATACAATTCAGAAAGAAAACAGAGGCTCTCCATTTTTTCTTTGTCCAAGTTTTTATATTGTGCAAATTATCTTTTTTTCTGAAAGCCTGAACACATGAAGTCCGGGTACATTTTAAGAAGACATTTTATAACTTTATTATTTTCATCCTAATTTATTCATTTTCAACTTTTGTCTCTGTTAATTTTCATACTTCATCTATTTGTAAAAAATAAGTTTACACTAAGATTTGAAACTCATTAGTACAATACTTTGCAAAGTTTGCCTATATTTTAAAACATTTACTTTTATGACAGTTTTTGGATAGGGCACTATAATAAAATATACTTTCTACAAATAAATTTTACATTATATACAAGGCAAAAACTTTATAGGCATAAGTTTTTATTATCTTTCATATGTAAAAGATAGCCAAGCACAGTGGCTCACACCTGTAATCCCAGAACTTTGGGAGGTCCAGGCAAGTGGATCATGAGGTCAGGAGTTCGAGACCAGCCTGGCCAATATGGTGAAACCCCATCTCTACTAAAAATACAAAACTTAGCCGGGTGTGGTGGCGCACCTCTAGTCCCAGCTACCTGGAAGGCTGAGGCAGGAGAATCACTTGAACCCAGGAGGCAGAGATTGCTGTGAGCCGAGATTGCACCACTGCACTCCAGCCTGGGCAACACAGCGAGACTCCATCTCAAAAAAATAAAAAACAAAAAAGATATAATATGGGGAAAACACTAATGTACAATTACTGGCCTTTTGAAGCCAATCTGTATAGTAAATATTTTATGTAAGTTTCATAAGATATTCTATAATCACTAATTCCTAAAGTAATCTCAAGAAGTATGTATTATTAATTTGCTTTTTATAGGAGCAAAACTTATCCACCAGGGAAAATATCAAATAAGTGCAATGATGGGAACACTGGACATATGGACTGAAAACCTGAGTGGGAATTTCTGGTCTACCACTTCCTGGTTGCCAAATTTATAGGAAGTTTACATAACCTCTGCAAGCCTTAGTTTTTCTATCTGTAAAACGAAAACAGTAATACCTTCCTCACAGTACTACTGTGAAAATTAAATAAAGCACATGAAATATTCTTTAATAGTACTTTGCACTATTTTTCTCAACTTCTCCTTCTTTACCCAAAGTCATACCATAAGTTGATGAGTACGAGCACTTAAAAAAACAAACAAATCTAGTTCACATAAAGAGCTCAATTAGAATGGTATCATAAACTGCATCACATCAGTTCTCAAACTCTTTTGTCCCAGGATTTCTTCTCACTTAAAACTTATTGAGAACACCAATGAGCTTTGTATTTATATTGATAATATGCATTGGTATTTCCCATATTAGAAATTATTTTAATGCTTTAACTTAAAATATTTACAAGCCCATTACAAGTTAATAAAAATACTTTTAATAATTAAAAAAAAATCTAATGAGAAAAGTAATATTGATTTACATTTTTGCAAATGTTTTTAATATTTATCTTAATAAAAGGCAGCTGGATTCTCTTATCAGTCTCTGGGGAAAAATACTGTATGATCTCACTTACATGTGGAATCTAAAAAACTTTATCTCATAGAAACAGAGGGTAGAAAGATAGTTACCAGAGGCTTGGGAGAGTTCCGGGGTGGAACAGATGGGGAAAAGGAAGATGTTGATCCCAGGGTACAAAGTTTAATTAGACTGGAGAAATAAGTTTTAGTTATCTATTGCACTACAATGTGACCACAGTTAATATTAATAATGTATTTAAAAAAATATTAATAATGTATTGTATATTTCAAAATTGCTAAAATTGAGTTTTAATATTCTCATAATAAAATGATAAATTGGTAAGGTGATGGCTATGTGAGTTAGCCTGATTCTTTCAATACTGCATACATACATCAAAACATCACACTGTACCCCATAAACATACAATTATCATTTGCCAATAAAAAAGTAAACCAAAAAAAAAAGAAAAAAAAGAAATACTGCTAAAAAAAAAAAAACTACTTTGCAGTGAATGAATAAAGTCTACACAAACACTATACTGTCAGGGGTAATTTCTACTGTTCATTACTAGTGATGTTTTTCTGAACATGCAGAGCACTGGGAAAAAAATTCTAGACACATATTTTTGATTGAAATTACGGAGGAAGGCGGTACGTGGCGGCTCATGCCTGTGATCTCAGTACTTTGGGAGGCCAAGGCGTGCAGATCACCTGAGGTTAGGAGTTTGAAACCAGACTGGCCAACATGGTGAAACCCCATCTACTAAAAAAAAATTAGCTGGGTATGGTGGTGCACGCCTGTAGTCCCAGCTACTTAGGAGGCTGAGGCAGGAGAATCGCTTGAACCCAGGAGGCAGAGGCTGTAGTGAGCCGAGATAGTACCACTGCACTCCCGCCTAGGTGACAGAGCAAGACAGACATCGTCTCAAAACAAAACAAAACCGGAGGAAATAAAATCTTTTTGAATCATTACTTAAGACAAACTGACTGAAAACTAAGTTTTTATTTATTTATTTATTTTTGAGATGGATTCTCGCTCTGTCACCTAGGCTGGAGTGCAGTGGCACAATCTTGGCTCACTGCAGCCTCCGCCTCCCAGGTTGAAGTGATTCTCCTGCCTCAGCCTCCCAAGTACCTGGTATTACAGGTGCCCACCACCATGCCCAGAAAATTTTTGTATTTTTAGTAGAGACAGAGTTTCACCATGTTGGCCAGGCTGGCCTCGAACTCCTGACCTCACGTAATCTGCCTCGGCCTCCCAAAGTACTAGGATTACAGGTATGAGCCACCGCCCTGGGCCAAAACCAAGTATTTTTAAGTTTCTCTCTGAAGCAGGAAGACACAGAAAAAATATTTAGGGTTATGTATCTAATTAGTGAACATAAGTGATAAATATTTATGATCTTGGAAAAAGTTACTTTTGGATAACAAAATGTTTTCTATATAACTTTCCAATATCCCGTCACTTAAAACTATAGTTTACTTTCTATTTTCAAAAATTGCCATTCTGTTTAGGCATTTCACCTGCCTAGTTAGGAGAACAGCAACAAAAAATTCTTGGTATGGTTCTAAACATCCTCTTGAATAAAGAAAAGAAAACAAATGGGAGAGGAGGGTACAGGATTGTATATCCCCTTCCCCTTGTTCTCCTCTCCCCTACTAAAAGAAAGACAAGGCTGAGTAGTAAAACACTGGACTGCAAAAGCCAGACTAAACTAGAAAATCTAACTAGAGAAAATAGGTTGAACAGGAAAACTGAAATTTGAAGTTATTCAACCTAAGAACTTTTCCAATAGGCTATTCTTCAACTTTTCAACATGCTTGGAAATAACATTAAAGTATTAAAAAGTTGAAAAACCGCTGGGTGTAGTGGATCACGCCTGTAATCCTAGCACTTTGGGAAGCTGAAGCGGGCGGATCACTTGAGCTCAGGCGTTTGAGAACTGCCCGACCAATATGGCGAAGCCCCGTCTCTACTAAAAAATAAAAAAATAAAAAAAAGAAAGAAAGAAAGAAAAAAAAAATTAGCCGGGCGTGGTGGTGGGCACCTGTAATCCCAACTACGAGAGGCTGAGGTAGGTGAATCACTTGAACCTGGAAGGGGGAGGTTGCAGTGAGCCAAGATGGCGCCACTGCACTCCAGACTGAGCAACAGAGCGAGACTCCGTCTCAAAAAAAAAAAAAAAAAAAAAAAAAAAAAAAAAAAAAAAAAAAAAAAAAAAAGTCTTAATAAAAATACAAAGGAAAAGGAAAAAATACAAAGGAAAAGGGAATTGATTAAAACTTTTTAAAATTTTTAAGTGAGCCTCCTTGCTTATTCTCCGTGACCACCTCACTCTCACACAAAGTGAGACATAACAAATTGAACACTGGATGAGGGTCAGAAAGCCTAGGTTTAAGAATTGGTTCTATCACTTCCCAGGCACGACCTCAGTTAAGTTCTGTCCTTGAGGCTGTTCCCTCATCTTCAAACAGTTCTATCAACACCCTCCAGCCCATCTCAAAAGGGGTGCTACCAATGAAATAAGCAAACGCAAAATACGATTATAATGGAATTTACAGTGCTGTAGAAACATCAAAGGTACACAGCCCTAATTTTATAAGCAAATCACTGCCTTTGTAGGCTAAGTAAAGTTTCCACTTAAAGGGACTGAGTTTACACAGTAACCCCCAAACCAGGACACCTCACAAATACTAAGAGCAGACTTTTACAGTTTAAAACTCTACTTCTAGGTTTCTATTTTATGTTCAGTGGCACTAAAAGACATTACAACTCATAGTCCAAACCTGAAAACAATAGTAAAAAAATTTAAGGTCGCAGATTTAAAAAACTCCACCAAACAAAGAGAATCCCTTGGAAGGTCTCCCGTGCTTGCAGAAGCTGGTTCACTTTACATTTTCCTCTCGAATTTCTCCTTAAAAAGCATGAAAACCTGAGAGAAGTTGAGAGGAACTCCCTCCACCTCTAGAGCAGGATTCTACCTCAGCATAATTTGTTCCATCCCTTTAAGTAAAATCTGCAAACTTCCCTGTTAGAAAAATAGTGGATTTAACTCCACGTTTCTCCTCAGGGCTCTTATCCTCTAGACAATAACGGATTGGAGCACGATTTCTGTGACAGAGAAGGGAAGTCCCTTTGGCCAGAACAAGGTTGTGGGCATGGAACGACCGGTCCCCTGTGTGGAGGGAACCTGGGCAGAAAGAAGGGGTCGCAGGATCTCTGACGCCGGAAAGTTCGGAAGCCCCTCAAGTCTGTTTTCGTTTGACTGAAGAGACTTGAGGGTGGGCGGGTCTCCGTCAAACAGCGGTATCGACCGTACGAAAGACCAAGGGGAGTTGCCGCCAGAAAGAAAAGCCAAAACCTGATGGGAAACAGACCGGCAAGACTGCGCAGGTGAGAAGGCGGCCGCAACCGCCGCGGCCCGCGAAGCTACAGCCCGCCGCGGCCCGCCAGGCTCTACCTCCAGAAAACCCTCCCCCTTCAGGGCCCGGCGCAAGATGGTGGCCCACCAGCTACCGCGCCGCCAAGCCTGTCCCCTCCCCCGCGCCCCCGTCTACCCGCGCCGGCTTACAGACCCTCAGCCCGCCGCCCTCAGAACCGCCCTCTGGGGAACGCTGCCTCGGCCGCTCCACAGAACCACTGCCTGCTTCCGCGCGGCACAGGCGGGGGCGGGGAACGCTTACCGACAGCAAAGCAGATCGGCCTGACTGGGGTGCGGAGAAGGAGGAGGAGCGCGAAAACCCCGGGGAAACGCCTCAGCAACAGCGACTCCCGCGGAGACTTCCAGCGCAGAACTGGCACCTCAGTCCCGGGGAGGGGTATATAACTGCGCGCGCTGCCTCATGGGTAGACGCCGACTCCACCCCCTGAACGTCCGGCGCCTTTCCTAACCGACACGGACGGCGGGTACTACTTGTGCAGCTACTTTACTTACCATCGAAGGTCACGTGAGCAAGGGCAATGGACCAGCGTGCACCTCTTCTAGGCAAACCTTCCGTTTAACCTGTGGTTGTCTTCCCCTCAAATACGCTGTATCTGACCACATAGAAACATGAATTCTGGGTCTCCCTTGTGTGTGAGAGTTAAAGATACTCGAGAGAGAGAGATATATATATAGTTGTTTTTTTTT